GCCAGAGACAGGGCCCTCCTTGGTGGCACAGCGGGTTAAAGCACAACACAAAGAAGCTTAAGCCACTTCCGCATGAGTTCGATCCCCGCCTGCCCCGGAGGAGATCCACATGGCGTGGCAGACCTCTCCTGACCCGTCCGCTGCTCCCCTCAGCAGTATACGTCGATCTGCCTGTTCTGCTCCCGGCTCTGTCTCTGGTGAAGCCTCTCACGGCCCCTGAGCCTCTGGCCTGTACCCCAGTTCTGTATGCACAAATAAATAAATCTTTAAAAAAAAAAAAAGAGTGCAGGGACAGAGTAAGAGCTCAACTTAAGATTCAGCCTACATGTTCTGTAAAAGTGAGTGCACTTAGGCCATGCCTTTGAGTGTCTGCCGTAGCATACGGTAACCACCAGGAGCTTAGTAAATGTGAGGGGAACACATGAATAAAAACAGTGAGTAGAAAATGTACTTGGGTGGAGTCCTTTGAAATTTTTATTACATAGTGATCAAAGTGAATGAAGGACCCATATGGACTTTGTTTCCTTCTGGAACTTGAAGCTCTGTATATATTTGCAGTGTTTTCATGGGCATCCTGAAAGATGCAAAGTTTAAGTAAAATATAAAGGTTTCATTGTAGTATTTTCCTAGTACTTCAGCTATCGTTTCATCATAATCTTAACACAATATTTCAAGACACTAAAGAACAATTAGGTAAAGCTAAGTATCAGTGTTGATCTGAGGAGAAATAAATAGGAACTCTTGTGAGGAGATTTTACCCATTCCTCTGCTCAGAATGTAAACAAAGCCTCCCTCTGTAAGTAAGTTAGATTTGTCAAAAGAGCAGGAATTGAGGATTTGATTTACAGTGTACTTTAATTTCTCTATAAGTGGTAAGAGTTTATAACACTTAAAATATCATATAAGGCTGTTTGTTTTAAAATATTTATTAAAATAAAGTGCATAAATTTAATGTTTTTCTCTGAAACTTACATAAACTTTCAAAATCAATGTTTTAATCATTCTTTTAAAATGCCTTTAGTTTTGACATTTTTGAATCACAGAATTTGTAATAAGTGAAAGCAAAGGAACTATCTTACCCTCTAAGGAAGAACTCTCCGGTTTAAAAAATTAATTATTTAGAATTTTTGAGCTTTCAATTTTGAGGTTTAGCAGGATGTAAAAAAAAGAAAATACACATCTGAAGAACTTAGTTAAGCCAGATGCCAATAACATTAGATTATTGCAGTTGGGTGATTTTTTTTTTTTTTCCCCTAAGCAACTCTTAGCACAGTGCCTGGAGCTTAGCAGATCTCAATAAATATTTATTGAATAAGCAGGCACATGGTTTGCTAGTGGTTAATAATTAGGAGGTGCTTTGCTGCTAGTGGTGAAATTCTATACAGTGTCTTCTAATGTTTGCCCTGTGCTTATAGGCCTGCATTGACCTCCAGAGAAGCCGATACTGAGGAGCATCAGCTGTGTTTGCATTCTGAGGAACAGTGGCAGCAGCCTGAATTCATGGCTACACTGGGCTGGTGACAGCATTGTCAATCTTGATCTTAAAACTGACTCTTAGTCTCCAGAGAGATGTTGATGTTCTGTTGTTTCCTCAGTACCTTTTAAGATACTTTATCCAACACTTTACTTGAATTCATCTCTCTGCTCATTTTCTGTTAAGGGGTTTTATATAAAATATATGAATTTATTCTGGAATGCATAATTAAATGTCTTTCAGGAAATGAAAACCTTTCTGTCTGAGAGTCAGCCCTAGAAGGGCTTGGAAAGGGCTCCATAAATATTTTGGGGAAATAGGATGGCAGGTAAGGGAGAGTGGTATCAAGATAAGGGCAAAGGGAAAGAGTGAGAAGTGTTGAAGGTAGTGATGCTCTTTCTCTGTGTTCAAACTACAGGCTCCTAGGCAGGCAAACTGGGACATACATCATCAGCCCATAAATTAGTTTCTCTAAAATAATTCAGAAACCTGGATCAACAAGCCACGTATTGAGTTAGGTTCATTTCTTATTCCAACTCAACCCATCGCAGTGACTACTGCACATGTAACAAGTTTTCTGAGTGTGTTTTACACACCAAAATTGTGAAGCTTCATTCTCTATAATGCTACCTTTATTAAATTTAACTGGTAGCACTTAGCTATCTATACAGTCAGGGATGTCAACTATAATTTCATAGCCATGATAATTATGATAATTATTAATTTGGCACTAATTTTTGTAATTACTTATTTAAGTCATTTAATCTTCATTATAATTCTCTTTGGTATATAAGAAAACAAGATTTTTGCAAATTTCCTGAGATTGTAAAGTTAGCAAATACTAAAGCTAGGACTTGAAATAAGTATTCTACCTCCAGAAGCTTTTCTTTGCTATACCTCTCAAAGTCATGCTTAAAATTTATAAAAGCTAAACTTATTGAATTGGGTGTTACTTCCATCAAATGGAACTTTGAGGAAAGTTCCTCAAAAGTCTTATAGTGGGTCTCCCTGGTGGGTCTCCCTGGGGATAAAGTCTCAGCACTATCAAGCTATCACTGGTCACTGCAGCATGATTTCAATCCCCAGCCAGGGAGCTGACCTACATGTCACAGCAGAGAGCTCACCTGCTGCTTCCCTCCGAGTGTATTTCAATACATTCACATGTTCTGCTTCCTACTCGGTCTCTGGTGAATCCTCACACCTCAGTTTTATGCATAAATAAAAAAGATAATTTTTAAATAAAAAACAATCTGGTAGTCACTATTTCAAAAATGTCTTATGTGTGAAAAAGTTATAGTTACAAAGGAGGAAATAGCAGTTAAAAATCTGGAAACTCAAGTAGGAGCTGAAGAGTAGAAGATTGAGTGTAAGGTGGTTAACATGGAAAAATAAAAGAGATAGAATATTTGGATTTTTAGAGGCTAAGTTGAAAAACAAAATCAATAACAATTTGTTAGTTATGGATACTTTCATCTTATAGATTAAGTTAGAATATTTATGGTTGGAGATAGTTCACTGTTATCTCTATATTATCTAACAAATTTCTTACAGATTTTGAGCATTTATTCCTTCTCAAGTCCACTATAAAGTAAGTTTGAATGCACTCAAGATGGCACACTTTAAGATATATAATGGAAAATTTCTTGTGAACAGAGCAAACTTTCAAAATCCATAATTTTAAAATAGTGGTGCTAAGAATCTCAATTTTCAGATGATAATATTGATGAGTAATTCAGTAATAAAAAGTTAACATCTTCTAATTTTGAATAAATTGCTTTCCTCTACCTGAGTTGGTATTCTTAGTTAGAATATGAAATGCTAAATAAGCATATCTAGAAGATTTCCTTTAACATGTAATAATTCAAGGTATTAAGAATAAGAGTGTTGCCAGCAACTAAGGAGATTCACGTAAGGTGAGGAACAGACTATGAGAAAAGGAAAAACAACCAGGTATGAAATAATTCCTCCCAAATATTAAAACATAAGAAGTGTTTGGTGTACTCACCAAGCTACCAAAGTTCCTCAATAACTAGAATCCCAAGCTTATTCAGAAAGACTGCCCGGAAATTAGATAATAATTCATTTTGAATTTGGAGTTATTACTTCTTTCATGTAAAGGTTTAAAAACTGAAAGAATTATATTCCTTACTTTGTCATCTTGGGAAAAATATCTTTGGTATCCAGGAGTATATATTTAAAATTTATTTATTCATCTATATACTCAATAGTTAAATATTGAACATTTACTATGTACCTAATTCTGTCACATGGCCAGTACACACATTCACATCACTTATTCCAAATCCACTGTAAATTCATGTTAGCAAGCTTTTATATAGTAGTAAGCAATTAGAAAGCATTCAGTAAATACCTCTCAACTATATTCAAATGTAAACCAAGGAAAGGAAATATATTTGAAAGTGATATCGTGAAACTTTAAAGAGATGCCATAAAATAATTTCTCATACAATTTACTTATGGGTATTATATCCCCTATTAACAAAAATATAGTTTAATGCATTGGACATATGCAATAAGATATGGAGAAAGATACAAAATATTTTAATGAAAGGGTTGCTGCATTCAGTGAGTTCACAGTACCATTTGATGCAGACAATTATTTCTCAAAAAGTTAAGATGAAAGGCTAAATAAGAAGTCCAAAAGATTTAAATATTTTGTGGGTTCAAAATGAATAGCAGTCATATCAGCTTGGGGAGAAATTAAGAAGGATGCAATAGCTCTTGCTTTTGAGCAATCTGCATACTATTCTATTCTTATTTGTGTTCATTCATTCATTCATGTAATCTTCACCCAATCTTGTGATATTGGAGTAACAGTTTTACACACAAGCAAGCTGAGGGCTACATCTTTAAAGATACATTATCACATTGTGACTGAAGAAGGAGGAAATCCCAAGTAAAGTCATGCAGGGCGTTGACGATGGCTCACACAGAAATCAGCTTGGGTAGAAAGGAGTGAGTGTGTCTAGGTCAGCAGGTGGACAGAACTGGTCAAAGCTGGCCAAACCATAGTGTGAAATCTTATCTATAGTCTATCACTCAGGAGGCTTGGGAGACCAAAGATACTAAAAAGGAGAGACTTACTTATAGTAGAAGAGCCTGAGTAAAATTAATCAAGGAAGTGGACTAGAGTTGGTGGGAAATGGAGGCACCAGTTGGGACTCCACAAGGAATGATTTAGGCAAGGAGTTGGAAGAGAAAAGACAACGATGAAAAGAGGAGTGGACTCATCAGACACTGGAAGGAAACTGACTTTAGGACTGCTAACAAACAGGATGAAGGAAGAACAGACTCAAAGGTACCTAGTTCTCTCAAATACACCTAAGCAGGATTAATTCATTTATTAAGAACTATTAAAATCTTACCAGATAAATCTTCAGAAACCTGTGTATAGACTCACTATCCAGCAGCATGTTATATTAGAATTTGTGACAGCAAAATCTGAAATTTTGACTCATTTTATGCCAATTCATAATATGAAACAAAGTATATTAAACAGTCTTACCCCTTTGCTGTATTCACTATCTGTATCACTGCTTAGCTCTTCAGTATTCATATTTTCCAAATCAGACTCCCCGGGGGCAATTGGCACAGTTACTGTGAGGCTTGCATTATGAATAAATGATTGACAATCACTTTCTTCCATCAAGTATCTGTCCATGCTGCTTTCAAAACCACTGATTTTATCTTTTTCCTTGTGGAAGTTCTGATCTTTGCTCATTTCAGCAAGTGTGCGGTTGGAGACAGAGTTTTCCTTTGTGCTATTTAGATCTTTTGATTGTTTTATCTCTTTGGAAACCACTGGTTTTTTGGAAAAGGCTTTAAGAATAAATTCATGTAAGGTTTGCTTCACATAATTTATTCCCTTCTTGATTCTGGCCACAGCAATCTGGAGGTTGTTTGCATCAGTGTCTTCTTCAAATCCTGTAAGGTTGTCTGAACTAAAGCTGCTCAGTAATAAAGCCAGAAATAGGTTCAGGACCTATATAGGTATGGGGAGCATGTGTGTGGCAAGATAGGGAGAACAATAAAAAGAAAAAAAGAAGAAGAAAGAAAGAAAATAAGCACATTTTTGAAATGCAGGTTAAAAGACAAACCAAAATGCCCAATACTTCTTCACACATTGGTAAGAACATCTGGGGTCAAAGATCAGCCATATACCTGAAGTATCATGTGACACAAAGAGAATGTTCCACCACCATTATCACTGTGACATTTTCAACATCAACTCTGTAGCAGGAGTTTCTCAAATTCCCTTCTATGAGCCTAAAAAGTCCTCCTATCACTCACATAAAGTTACTATGGGTTACCTTAAAAAACAAGTAGAACAAGAAAATTTTGACTCGTGTCTACTGTGCTGAAGAACTTAGGCCAAGATTCATGTTCACTTTTCCCAGAAGACAAAATGCTATTTGTCATAACAAATGGGATATATAATACTTGCCGAGCACCTACTAATAAAATATTCTGTTCAAGAAATTGTGCCAGCTTCCAAATTAATGAAGCTTTTAAAGCATATAAAAGGACCTGCCCATTGAACTCAATTGAAGTGAGATAATGGCATTTTGATTGGGTGGCTACATGGCCAACCGTTTCTCCCTGGAAAAGAATAAAATGGGTCAGATCAATGCCTAAACTTGAAGCAAAATTCTGTCTGTTTTCTGAGTTAGGGGCTCTGGTGAAATCAAAACTGCTAAAAAAGAGAGAATTCTCATAGAGGGCTGAAAATATGTAAAATATTCTTAAAATATTATTTTATATAGAAAACATTATTATTCAATAATCTTGTTATTTACTTTCTTGTAACCTCTCTTCATAATCTGATACATCTACATCATTTAAAAAGATTAACAATTAGATCAAATGAGGGGAAGAGACTCATCCCTGATTTCAGTCACACATGAATCATTTTCTTGGAGGTGTAAGTAGAAGAAACTATGTCAAAACTTTCTATATCAATAAATCTAGATGAAGAGGACTTCTGGGTTCAGGGGATGGGGGAATGAGATAATCATAGAAAACAACTTTGATGACTCACTTAAGGAATTCTAAAGTTTTATCTTCATTTTGACCTTTACTGTCATTAAGAAAATATATTTTACAATGGGTTGTTTGATATGTGTGTTTTAGTAGTTATATTGATGATAATTCAATTTTACTGCTTTAACCTTCCTAGTCAGTGCAAGTGTTAACAGACTTAAATTTCTTTTTTTTCATGGGCCCTTCCTGGTGACACAATGGGTTAAAACACAGCCCTGAGAAGCTGGATGCAGCTACTTCAGTGCCAATTTGATTGCTGGGAAGGGAGGTAACCCGCATGTGGTGGGGTGGCAGATTTCCTGACCCGCTCACTGCTCCCCTCAGTAGTGTACTTTCTCAGTTTGCCTGTTCTGCTCCCCACTCTGACTCTGGTGAATCCTCTCACTGCCCCGGCACCTCTGGGTTGTACCCCAGTTCTGTTTGCATAAATAATAGTTTTTAAATTTTTTTTCATTAGCTTTATTTCCAGATTTATTGAGATATAATTAACATGTAACATTGTATACATTTGAGGTATACAACATAATGGCAAATAATCTTGTTGCAAATGATTAACTAACTGCCATAGAGTTAGCTAATGGTGCTGCTTCTATCATAATTAACCTTTCTTTTTTTTTTTTTGTTTTGGATAATTTAAGATCTACTTTCTTGGGACCTTTCAAATATATAATATAGTATATACATATATATATATATATATATATATATATATATATATATATATATATATATAAAACATCAAGTATATAATATGGTGTGTGTGTGTATATATATGTATATATATGTATATATATATGTATATATATGTATGTATGAATATATGTAAAACAAAATATAAATCAATATATAAAATGGCAATATTAACCATAATCACCATGCTGTAATTAGGTCCTAGAACTTATCCATCTTATAAATGGAAGTCTGTATTCTTCCCAAATCTCACACTCCAGACTCTAAACACCATCATTCCAGTCTCTGAGTTCAGTATTTTTAGACCACATATTTCAATAATATGCTTCTGCTGTATCACTGCTTCATCGAGACTAGATACTACAATAACTCCCATTCCTTAAAACATTATAACAAGACTAATTGCTTATCTTAAACTACTGGCTATCAGAAAGCAGCATGAATTCCACTTTGTATCATATATCGATCATCATGTCAAGCAGGAAAAGACTGACTATATTGTTAGAAAAGTCATGATGTATTTTTTTCTGTTTTTCAGGCAAAAATGTGCTGTGACTTTTCCAACAACCCAATACTAATGTATACTTGATTCAAAGTCTCATACTGATTAATGTTTGTCACCAGTTTCCTATTGAAGACATCAGTATACCAAAATCTTCTATTTTTTAAACCATACTTTTACAGTTATGGTTTCAACCATTTTTATTAATTGGAAGTTAAATGACCCAAATAATACATAAGGGAGGGAAAAAAAAAGATATGTTAACACACAGCTGTAATATATGGAAGACCACATGAGGAATATAATTTTTTGTCCTTTTTTTTTGGATTTTACTTCTGTATCATTAGTAATTCCTTAGTCAAGAAAGAGATGATTATCAACTTCATCAATCATGTTTTTCTTTTTCATTATCACTAATGAATAATTAATGAATGTCATAAGTTACCAATGACCAACTGGTACTCATAAGTTACTCATGACCAATTCTACATGAATTAAACAATCACTAATACCGCCCATCTATTTTTTATTATAAATTTATATTGCTTTTCAAACCGTCACTCTCAGACCTACGCTCATGTTTAAATATACTATGCATTCTTTGAAAACCCCCTTGAAAAGCCTCCTTTGAGCTATCATTTAGAACTTTTCTTCCTTTCCCAAGTAGCAACAGTATTTCATTGTTGTATTTCCCAAGTAGCAACAGTATTTCATTCAGTATTTTCCATTTTTCCCTTTTCTAATGATATTTGTGTACTATTTTTTCTGTTGTAAAAGGCTGTAAGAAACATGAAGACAGATTACTTCCTAGGTGCATTTTTTTCAATCACCTCCTAGCACCTAAATATATTACCTTTTAGAGAAAAATGCCTAAAAATACTTAAGTGTTCTGCAATAGCCTAAAGAACCCCTATCACTTTACATATACAATTTAAAATATTTGTGACCACTGGCTGATTTTGATATCCTCTTTGTTGGAATTATATCTCCATATTTTTTGCTGCAAAATTTTATACAAGGTAATACACAAACAAATCCCTTTATGAGACTTCATGAAAGCAAAAGTTAAACTCAGAAGAACTAAACAGAAAATGGGCATTTCATTTCACATTGAAAGGTATTTATTATACTATATAAAACTAAAAAAGGTGTTACTAAAACTTCAGGATGATTAAGAATTAAAGAATTGAAACTCAATGTCAGTATTTTGTGCAGTTTGCACTGCGTAATTTACTCTGTGTATATCTGACCATTTAATGGCACCAAACAAGGCCATTTGTTATGTGACTTAATGAGTGTCAGTTTCTGTACTAGGCTCTGAATTACTTTTGAAATGGAGGCTGAATGGACCAAAGAATAAAACAGCAACCGCTTTTCAAGTTAGTGGGATTTGAACCACAACCTGGAATACCTGATGAGGAGCATAGTACGTGGCTGAGCTACCATGGTGACTTTGAAAAATCAAAGTGGGTGAGTGATAGAAGAACATCTTATCTTGATTTTCTTCCACTTACAAGCTTAAAAGTCTGTAAGGTCTTTAAGCACATTTGTTACCAAATAAACATTTTATTAGATATCAAGATTTCTTTTCTTTTTGATTCAAGGCCCCCCTAAATTTTCAATAATGATAATAATGCAAAGCCACAGAAACAGAGGGCAATTCGAGTAAACATTAATGAAGAAATAGGAGTATCAATTTTAAAAGATATTGTAGGGCAGTGGTAGACAAACTTTTACTGTAATAATTATTAGAGGCGTTGTAAGGCACATCTCTACCGACAACTATTCAACTCACCCTCATAGAGAAAATAACCACGAACAATATGTAAATGACATGGCACCTCCATGTTCCAACAGAATTTTGCTTGTGGAGATTGAGATGTGGATTTCAATAACTTTCACATGTCATGAAATATTATTTTCTTTCAATTTTTAAAAATATATTTTAAAATGTAAACACCATTTCTAGCTTGTAGGATCATGTAACCATAGGCAGTGTCCTGATTGGACTCATGGGCCACAGTCTCCCATAATAAATCCTACTTTTAATGGAAATTTTTCTTCATTATCTCATTTTGATATTGATGTCACATAGACTACATTTGCTTTTCATCTCTCTTAAGAGTCTAAGACAATATGAAGCTGTGATGATAAATAGATTATTTAAAAGAACAACATAGATGGCCCTCCCCGGTGTCACAGTGGGTTAAAGCACAGCACTAAGAAGCTAAAGCCACTTCAGCATGCTTGATTCCTGGCCAGGGAGGTGACCCACATGGCGTGGCAGACCTCTTCTGACCCACCCGCTGCTCCCCTCAGTAGTGTACTTTGTGGATCTGCCTGTTCTGCCCCCACCCCCCCACTCTGCCTCTGGTGAATCTTTTCACTGCCCCTGCACCTCTGGCCTGTACCCCAGTTCTGAATGCATAAATAAGCAAATCTTTAAAAAGAAAGAAAGAAAGGAAAAAACCAAACCCAAACAAGGATTAGTGTAGCCAAAAAAGGAGAAATCAAGCTTTAAAAAAAAAAAACAATATAAATTAAGTTATAATGGAACAAGGCAAATGAAGGGGTTAGTCCTTCTGCATCACATTCATATATAAAACTAGTATATGGGACAAGAATCAGCAACTGTGGCCCATGAGTCTTATCAGGACACTGCTTATGGGGAAGGTAATTAAAGCAATCTTTTATTTTCTTCTCCATTATCCCATGTATTAAAATATCTATTATATTACAACTAATAGTCTTAGAATAAATCCTAAAATCTTCAAAATAACTGGTCAGATAATCATGAAACATTTTTACAGAGAATTTTAAATGTGTGAATATCTGTTGACATACCACTAGGTTTCCAATCACCATGACCATCATGTACACAATCAGGCACATGGCTTGCCCAGCGACCTCCATGCAGTCCCACATGGTCTCTATCCACTCTCCACACAGCACACGGAACACAATCAGGAAGGAGTGGAAGAAGTCATTCATGTGCCAGCGCGGTAGTTTACAGTCTTCATTGATCTTGCAGACACATTCTTTGTAGCTCTTACCAAAGAGCTGCATGCCGACTACAGCAAAAATGAAGACGATGATGGCCAACACCAGGGTGAGGTTACCCAGAGCCCCAACTGAGTTACCAATAATCTTTATCAGCATGTTCAGTGTTGGCCAAGATTTTGCCAACTTGAAAACTCGGAGCTAAAAGTAAACACAAACCTTAATATTAATTATTGTGAACAAGATCTCAATGTTTGTAATTTTGAGTTTTGTTCCAGATTGTAAGTTCTTCTTTAGTCATGTTTACCTAGCTAAAATGGTTTATTTCTATTTTCATTTTCAACTGTACTCAATATTTCTGTTATTTTGTTATATTTGCCACAACATAATTACTATACAGGTTGAAGGAATTATGTAATTTTAGCTCAGTATTACAAAATCTTTTATCAAGTTGTCTAGTATTATTTCCCTCAAAATTGATCATTTGCCTTTAAATTTATTTTACTATGTTTTTTTTTTTAATGCAGACTAGGGATAAAATCCAAAATGTTACATAAAAAGTCATTTAAAATGCCCTTATTTTAAAACTATTTTCAAATACTATACAGTTGTTTGGGTGAAACATTTTATATTTGATTATTAAATCCTCAAAATAATGATAATATTTTGACAATTGCAATTCTGCACATCATCAGCTTCATACAGTGAAATTATTATCCTATTATTCATACTAGCATATAAGCCTGAATATATCTTCAAGACACTAAAATTAAAATATTTGTGTGGTTTTAAGGTTTTTAAGTATACTTGTTACTGAGTAACATTATTTTACCAGATACCAAGATTTAATCCTTTAATTCAAATATTGAAAAACTTGAAATGATAATAATACAAAACCAAAGAAACACATCTTTATACATAAACTATGTTCAAACTGATTGATACTTACCAGTCTGAATGATCTCAAGACTGACAATCCTTCCACATCTGACAGGAAAAGCTCCACTAAACTTAAAGTCACAATAAGGCTGTCAAATATATTCCATCCTACTTGGAAATACTCATATGGATCCATGGCAATTAATTTTAAAACCATTTCAGCTGCAAAGATCCCAGTAAAGACCTAAATGAGAAATCTGGTATTATTATAAGGTATGGAATTTATTTAATGATCATAATGACCATTTCCCTAGCACTTACTATACTTCAATGTGTGAGACAATTCAGATATATATTATTATCTCATTTTATGCTATACAGGTATAATCTATATATACAATTAACCTATAGCTCTACTATAAACATTAAAGCATTAAATCTCTAACACTGCTGTCAGTTCTCATCATCTGCAGATAGTATTTTAGGCTAACATAGTAAAATTCCAGATAGATAAAACCTTGGAAAATTAGCACCGTCACTCTTTACAAAAAAAAATATATATATATATATATGTGGGTCAACAAGTTATTTTGGAAGAAAATAAAAAGGAAACAGATTGATGCTAAAATTTTGAACCAGTTTTTTTACTCTGGTCTGATGATCTTACAGTAAGAAAGAACATATTGACTCACTCTTTAAAGATTTATAGTAAAGGAAGAAAAAGGATTTAATTGACACAGTAGCAGCTAATGTAAGATTTTCAAAACTTTGACACAAAAGTGCATCACAAAGCATCATTAATTCATGGCACTGGTATCAAGGACTTACTTAAAAAGGCAACAATGAAAGACTTACGTATGAATCACTCAAGGATATACATAACTATGTTAGTCGATTTTTTAAATAATGCAGTATCAAGAAGACTAGAAGTGAGCATCCAGACTTGGAATATGGCAATAAGGAACATGGCTAATCCTTTTTGGGTTCCCAATGATGCAGTCAATTCATCAAGAAAATACTCATTTTCAGGATCTCAACCTTCACCAACATTTAGAAGCTAAATAATCCTGTCTTTTACCCAAAGGGCATAAAAGAGTAGATAAAACAGCAACAAAGAGAAAACACTATATATGAACATCCTGATTGGAATTATTAATAAACATTTGGAGAGAGAGGACAAACCCAGAAACAAAATGTTTGGTTTCAAAGATCAATTAGCAAAGGATAGGGCAAGAGAGATTAACATGAAACATTAAGTGATTAATGAAGAGTCATAAACTAGGACTCTTTAGTTGTGAACTATAATCTGCCTGCTCATGCAAGTTTTTAGAAACTAGCACTTTTGTCACTAGGTATTAACTGAATTAGAGTGTGAGTAGGACTGCCCATGTAAATTACTCTGGGCATTTAGAATTGGATTGGAGATGGCATCGGAGGGTGTTTTGTTTCACTCCAGAGACTCACCTAGGTTAACAAGTATAGAACTGCACCTAAGAAAGCCCATAGTTTAGGCAAAACTGGAATATCTTTTAGAATCTAGAGACCTGGTCAAATGAGCTAGAAGGGAGGAGATTCAAGATGCTGTGATGGAGAAATGAGCGGAGAGAGACAGTTAGATGCTGTAGTTGGGGATTGGACATACTATTATAATTTAGGGATCAGTACTTTTCAATCATATTCAGTGTTTTGAATCAATGCCTCCTCATACAAAAATAAAAATAATATAAAAGAAGTTACTCTGGGGCCTCCCTGGTGGCGCAGCAGGCAAATGCAGCACTAAGAAGCTAAAGCCACTTTAGCATGAGTTTGATCCCATCCCAGAGGTGATCACATGATGTGGCAGACCTCTCCTGGCCTGACCACTGCTCCCTCAGCAGTGCACTTGTTGGTCAGCCTGTTCTGCCCCCACTCTGTCTTTGGTGAATCCTCTCACCACCCTTGCACCTCTGGCCTATACCCCAGTTCTGTATACATAGATAAATAAATCTTAAAAAAAAAAAAAAAGTTACTCTGGCATTCATTTTCCTAATAGGATTCCAGCTACATCTTGAAGTCTGTCAACACCTTCTCACTGACCCTGTGACCCTGGTCTCCTCTATTTTTTGTTCAACTATTTTTGTTTCTCAATAATCTGCTTTAAGGTTTGTTTCTCAATATTCAATAAAGAAAAAGCATAATGATGACAATAAAGCATAATGATGACAATAACAACAACGATAAGCTGAATCTGTTAAGTGCTTTTTATATGCCAGACTAATAAAGTTCTTATCCCTCTCAACAATATGATAAAGTGTTACTATCACTACATTATAAAGAACTATACTAATTTAAAAAATAAACTATTATTAATATTGTATAAATGAGGCCATTAAGGTAATAGAACTTTAACTGTTCAAGATCTAATAACCAATAAGAAGCAACATCAGAATTCAAATCAATGACTTTGAGACTCCAAAGACCCAGAAACCTCACCAATGGTGTTAAAACAAAGCATCCATAGTTTTTCTGAAAATATGTAGTGTGTAAACTCAAAAGGACACCATAACAAACTTATAAATGGGAAAGAAATGGTCAAATTTTCAAAGTCTTACTGACAAGGGGCATACTGGCAAGAGCAAACAAAACAAAAAAACCACTATCAAATGTTCAATGTCAAGATCTTTTATGGAAATAATAACCTTAACACTCCTGAAAACTATGTAAAAACGCTATCACTAGAAACTGTTGTTGGTAGAACGATTCATATTGTTAATTCTGGAGATGCATAGTTATCTAGCTGGATATGCATAATTAACACTCTGTTTTAAAAAAGTGAAATGACAACCAGAGAAACTATGGATACATAACACACCATAAGAAACTTACCAAATTTCCCACAGTAAGCACATCTTTGAATTCATCAGTCATTGGGTGATGTTCCATAGCCATAAACAATGTGTTTAAAACTATGCAAATGGTAATAGCAAGATCCACAAAAGGATCCATTACAATAAGATAGATAAGCCTTTTGAATTTTATCCAATATGGAGAGCAATTCCAGATCAAGAATGTATGTGCAAATCTGTACCACCAAGGTGGACATTTTTGTCTGGATTCTTCAAGTTCTGGGAGAAGAAAACAACAGAGATATATGAGATCAATCATTTGATATTTTATTCCTAACAAGATCCAAATTAGCAGTACATTTTAACATTGAAACAAGTCCTCTGACTTAGACTAGACTTTGCAAAATTAATCCTACTGTTTCTGTGAAGCAAAAACCTTTATCACATGTTCTTTTACTAGCTCAAGCATAAAGGAGGGGAAGGCAATGAAATCAATGAGTGAGCAGATATGGGCATCTCTTAATGAAAGACAGCCCTATCAGAAGATAGGAAATAACAGAACTGAGCTGTTATTGTCTTAATGAAGAAATGTAGTCCTACACAATTAGCCCTGCTGTTCTTGTTCCATGAGAACAAAAAGGCAGTTCTATTTTACCCAGGAAAAGCCCTGCTAGTTTAAAGGTGAAATCAATTCCAGAAACAAGGGACTAGAAATATTTAATGGAATGATTAATTTAACAGATAATTCTTACCAAAAACTCATTAATTTCTCACTAAACTGAGAAGGTGGGAAGAAACTTTGTCTGGGCCCATCATGGATGTGTGTTTGTGGAGATAAAGTAGCCACAGACAAGGTAGGACCTGGGCACATTGAAGGGGGACAAAGAGGGAGCCAGTATATTATTTAAAGTTACCACCCTTTGATTTTCTTCTCAGCATCTCACAGTTAAACCACTATTGTTCACATTACATTTCTAAAATTGCTTTCCCTATTGCATTTAAAAAAAAATTTTTTTTAAAAAAAATTATTTATACAGAACTGGGGTACAGGCCAGAGATGCGGAGGGTGAGAGGATTCACCAGAGACAGAGTGGGGAGCACAACAGGCAGGTCTTTGAAGTACACTGCCGAGGGGAGCATAGGGCGGGTCAGGAGAGGTCTGCCAGGTCATGTGGTCACCTCCAGGGCAGGCGGGGATCGAACTCATGCGGAAGTGGCTTTAGCTTCTTAGTGTTGTGCTTTAATCCACTGCACCACCAGGGAGGGCCCCTATTGCATTTTTATTATAATCTAAACAGGTTCATGTCACATATTACCTTTTTACAATTTTTATTTTTAAAGATTTGTTTATGGGTACAAGAACTAGGGTACAGGCCAGAGGTGCAGGGGTGAGAGGTTCACCAGAGATAGAGTAGGGAGTAGAAAAGGCAGATCTACTGAAATAAACTGGTAAGGGGAGCAGTGGTTATGTCAGGAGAGGTCTGCCATGCTATGTGGGTCAGCTCCCTGACAGGGAATCAAACTCATGCTGTAGTGGTTGTGGATCACTTCATAGTGCTGTGCCTTAACCTGCTGCACCACAGGGAGGGCCCACCTTTTTCAAATCTTATAGAATGTGCTCAGACAGCAACATAGAGATACTTGGAAGTATGCATCATTAACTTGTATTAGAAAGATGATAAATTCAGAAAGACTGTAAAGTTTCTAATACTACATAATGAGAGAACACCAGAGCCCTGGGTAAATCTAGTTTTCCTTATCAATTACCATTAAGTCATTTCTCACTGAAATACCCTATCACCCAATGCCTGTTTTTTATTTCAAATAACATTAATCATAGGTTTACACATAAAGATGGTGCCGTTCGTATCCACTGGTTATCATTACCAGTGTTATTACCACTTTATAGTATTCGAATGCTTCCTAAGACTTTATGTACCTATTTAAGGCTAACCAATAATTCTATGAATTTATTATATGGTAGAAAAACAACTATTACATACCTTCTACAGTGTTTGTTAATATGCTTGCTCTGCTCATAGCCCTTTGTCTGAGATTGGGATCATTCAACATATCCTCAGAAAGAAAGTAAGAACTGGAACGTCTTTTCTTGTGTGTTTGATTGGTTGTACACTGAAAAAGACCCAATAGTTTTTAAGAACAGGATTCTTATAAGTTGCAGGCATAAAATAAAGTTGTGTGAAGATAGTTGTAGTGAAATAATTTTGCCATGTAAGTAGCCTATGTGAAAATAGAACAACAACCATTGTGATGGTATGTGTGTGTGTGTGTATGTATAGGGAAAAACTTCGGTATTCTCTGATAAATTTCTGTAATGAGTTTTTGTTGTGATAATAGCATAACCTCAGTGGAGGTTACCATAATGATTATTTCTTATTGTCAAGGAAGATCTCATAAACTGTCCTGAGCATAGGATGAAAAACAACTCAATTTGGAAAGAATAGTTAAGAATGATGGGAACAGTAGCAAAACTGAGTATGTAAGCTCTGTTTAAAAGAGGTGCCCACTGTTCAGCTGTAAAGGAGAGCTGCCAAGCAGGAATATGAGTTATCTTTGAAGGCATACTTATTTGTTGTGAAAGCATCTTACTTGTAAATCTGGGCAACAAATTATAAGTTAGAACACAATACTGGTTCTGGCAAGTCAACAATACACACATGCTCACATACACAAATTTATACACAAACAACTATACAACTCTGTCTATTATCTAGCATCTATCTCTGCTTGTATGTGATGTATATGTACATACACACATTATTTTAGAAATATATATGTACATGTATACACAATACATATATATTTCTAGAGTTGTAAAGCTGAAGAGTGGTTTAGATATGGTTATATATGTTAGATATATCTCTCAAAACAGAGATACACCGGTATAAATATGTGCATGTATGTATGTATGTGTGTACACACAGACATACACATAAAACATGTACATACATGCAGTAGTTTTATTTATAGAAATGTCTCAATAACCACATATTCTCTTATGCAGTTGCTAGTTTATTGACTTTCCAGAAGCAGAGATTTCTTTTTTCCTGAGTCAAACAAGAGTTTGTTGAAACAAATCTTCCATGTAGACATGTTTCAGGTTTCAAAGCTGTATTACTGTCATTAAATTACTTTCATCTACACTGTTCATCAGGCCACATTATTTTGTTCATTGCATTTCTACTGAATCTTAGGGTACCCACTGATTTCTTTAGTTTTGTAGTTTCTGTTTCATGATTGATGAGGATACTGATTTTTCTGTGGTAAAAATAAAAGTTTTAATTGAAAACATTTAATTTAAAAATGAAATAATCTCCCAATATGACACAAGTGATAAAATATTTTACAGATAATACACATAATTAAAAAGCAAACACAACAAAGATCTGGTCCATAGAAATGTAACATGCTTGTTTGAGAAGGCAAAATACCTTGACACAGAGCTGAAGCTATATCATGCAAGCATAAGGTCACAAGTCACCTAGAAGCACATGCAGTCACTCAAACTGAAATATGTATGTGACCATGGTTTTGATGGAACTACACTCTCACTTGAAATAGTATACTTTCTGCAAATATGAATTTATGAAGAAGTCGCATGAATTCAAAGCTTACTAGGTTAGTCAAAACCTTTACTGATACTTAGCAATGTGGTATAATTAGTGTTCTAGGAAGTAACCTAGAAAATCCAGAAACCAAAGAGATTTTACCTGCAAGCCTATCAGATCCTTTCCTCTAATCACACAATGACTTCTAAATACTAATAAATGTTATCTTGGATGGTTGTTTTGTTTTTGTGTGTGTTCTGGATAGTAGGTGCTTATATATATGTATATATGTATGTATGTATGTATGTATGTATGTGCATATATATATATATATGCTTGTTTGCTTGTATACCTTCTCAAACAAGCATATATATATATATATATATCATTTATTTATATAATATATATTACGGCATTATATATATATATTTTTTTTTTCATAGACTCCAGACCAAAGAGTTTTTTTCTTTATGAAAACAGTAAATGGCATACATATGAGAAAAAGCATAGCTATTCTAAATTACTTCCAAGTTAAGAAGCCTAACACACATTGGAGAGAGAGCAAAGTGTGATGGTTAATAACTAAGCTCTGAAACAGAGGGCCTCTCTTTTAACTTCAGGATTAATGTTTGTTAGCTTAATACCCTTGCATAAGTTGCTTTATTTCTGTGCCTCAGTTTCCCCTTTGTAAAACAGGAATGATTATATATCATTTCATAGTGCTACTGTAAACACTAAGTATGTGTTTACTATTATTAACAACTCAAATAACACCCCTTGCAACAGGGTATATGTTAAGAAGTGACTTGTAAAAGATAGCAGGAGGTAACAAATAATCTAAATTTCACTCCAGAAATGGTACTGTTCATCAACCTATTACCGATGCATTTTCTGTGCTTATATATCTCTTACAAGTTTTTATAAAGGGATGATTTATAATCTTCAAGTATAACATCAATCAATAAATACCTTTTCTCAAAAACAAGGTTTTAAGTATTTTTCAAATCAGATGTCTAGGGCACAGAGTATGAGAACCAAGTTGATGCATTAAAGATTGCCAAATACAGAGCCATTCATAGGACCAGAGAGCAGGTCACAGAGTATGAGAACCAAGTTGATGCATTAAAGATTGCCAAATACAGAGCCATTCATAGGACCAGAGAGCAGGTCGCTCCAGCAGAAAGATTGAGTGATGCAAAAATAAGGGCTGAGCCATGCCTGAACTATTTAAAACATCCTTACACTGTCATCAGAAGTTGCCTTATCTATTATCACCTCTGGAAGAAGCTGTCCATTGGGGAGCATGAGGGCAGAAGGTCCATCAACCAAGGAGACCACACCATTGCAGTCCACTGCACTGTGCATCTTCCCGTTCACTGGCAGCATTTGGGGGGACCTACTGGCTTGACTGATGTTACTGCTGCGCCTTTCCCGAGGTCTGTGGGGCACGAACAGTGAGCCTCTTCTACTCTCATTGTCTCCAAAAATGCTGTGTTCGTCATCTGCAAATTCAGTCTCAGATCCACCATCTTTCCCCCGAACTTTGAAACTAAAAAGACTTGTTCTGCTGCTGCGCCTTGCAGAGAGCAAGGAGCCACGGATGCTGAGTGGCGACTGTGGAGAAAATACAAGATGACATGCATGTGCTGAAGCACCTGAAAATAGAAGTCTATCTATGTAACTACCATTGAAGCCACTGACCTGGGAGGAGATGGCTGTGTACTGATTTAAAAGGAACATATCTCAAAACAAAGCAATTCAGCAAAAAGACAAATTCTTCCAAAATGGGGCTAAGATGATTGGAAGAAATTCATCCTTTAAGGACCAGGTACACTATTTACTGCTGTACAGCTCTCTATCATTCTGACCAAGAATGACCTGTCCATTCTCTTTATACCATTCATTTTGCTAAAAAGAACATATCAGTTTAAAAAAAAAGAATTTGGTCTTGATAGCTGTTATTTAGCTTTTCATAGATCAATCCTTGAGTTCTATTAAGTTAGTGAAACTTTTGAGATGAAAGACCATATTGTATACTTTGTACTCAAGTGCTTGCAATTTCACTTAATGTAGTATAAGTTCAGTTAAATTACAGTAAGATCTAATACTACCAGTGAGTTTACAGAGTCATAAAATATCAGACCTTTGGAAAAACACTGCCCATTATCAAAGAGGGTAATTTACATAACATTTATATGACTCATCTGTAGGCCAAATTGTGCCTATAGACCAAGCTTTATGCAATTTCTTTGGAAGCATCTAATTCAATAAAATTTAGTGCTGACTATTGTAAAGGACAGTATAAATAATGGAAAATGAGTCTGACAAGGTGTTTGCTGAAAACTAGCTTGGGCTGCTCTTGTATATCTTTTCATTAGTAGTGCATGTACTCAAGATCTAACTCCCCAAACAGCTTGTGAGATCTCAGAAAGCAAGGGCTTTTTGTCTTTATGAAAGACTGGTAGGGTCTTACAGACTTAAATAGAAGCTAAGTTTTTTAAAAGAAGATATAGATGAGACTGTAATACCTACAGAGGTGAAGAAAAGATGAGATACTAATCTGATTTGTTTTAGCCAATAAGGCAAATGAAGTAAATAAATAAAAGTCAATCTACAGTGTAAATACTTTCTCCGTTTCTACTATGGTTCTCATAAATCTTTGTTTTGAAAATTCATTTATTAGAGAAGATAAAATAATTCCAGAAAAGATGAGATATTAATCTGATTTGTTTTAGCCAATAAGGCAAATGAAGTAAATATATAAAAGTCAATCTACAGTGTAAAGACTTTCTCCCTTTCTACTACGGTTCTCATATCTTTGTTTTGAAAATTCATTTATTAGAGAAGATAAACTAATTCCAAAACTATAAGTACCTTCAAAGATGGTCAGATTTCATGGAAAACTGTGCATATATGTGCTCTTTCCATAAACGCCCTAAAAGATTTTTACCTAAAAACCTATCAGTGAAGCCACTTACTCAGCTCCACTGAGGTCTGTACTTCAGAATACAACATTTTTCTCTGAGTACTAGCTCTGGCAATAGGCATCTGCTAGTTTCAGTGGTACCTGACTGGGGGTGGCGCGCCCCTTCTCATGCCCTCGTCTGTGCCCTTCAACACCAAGATGGAAGCTTTTCCTCCTAATACTCTCTTCTGATTCCGATTTGGACAATTTCTCATCATCTCCCTTTTCTTCCCCACTAGAAAGCTTCTTTTGATTCTTTTTCTTTCTTCTGTTTCTCCTTTCTTTAGCACTTTTAGAGCTCAGTTTGGATGTTTCAGAAGAACTTTCAGAGAGGCCCATAATCCTGCTTCTTCCAATACTTGTATATTCAGCAGCTGCCATTGCTATTGCCTGTTGGACCAAGAGATCACAATATAATGAGTCATTTCCAAAGTCTGGAGCACCTGGAACAGGGCACCTCTCTATCATGAATTTAATTACACCTGCATGTCCTTTGTACAAAGACTCACATCAACTTGTTCTGATCAGGAAGTTTACAAAGCACATATTTACTGCCTCTCTCTCATTGTAATGAAGTCTGAAATTAAATTAGTATAAACTATTGCCATATTCATAAGAAAGTAATTTTAATTAACATATAGGTAATACATACTGGGTAGTTACATAATAATGTAATAATTATGAATTACTCACATAAATAATATAATAATAATTTGTATCTTTTATTCAGGTAATTAACTCAACATTGCCAAAAGAATCAGGGATTCCATAGTTTAATGAAGATTGAGCTTTTTGAAAATAAATTTTTGTAAAATAATTCCTCAAGAAATGAAAGATATTTTTAGGGATTTCCCTAATTTCTGTGATAGCCTAGCTATTCTTTTACAAGAAAAAATAAATAAATAAAATGTTGTTAAAACAATCCTTTTAAATGTCAGAAAGGTGGCACAGTGGGTTAAAGCACAGCACTAAGAAGCTAAAGCCACTTCTGCATGTGTTCGATCCCCGCCTGCCCCAGAGGAGATCCACATGGTGTGGCAGACCTCTCCTGACCCGCCTGCTGCTCCCTTTAGCAGTGCACTTCGTTGTTCTGCCTGTTCTGTTTCCCGCTCTGTCTCTGGTGAATCCTCTCACTGCCACTGCACCTCTGGCCTGTACCCCAGTTCTGTATGCATAAATAAATAAATCTTTTAAAATAAATAAAAGTCAGAAAATAGATATTGTAAACAAAAGTAAAAGGTCACACATAACCTTACATTCCATAAATGATTGATGTTCCTGTTTCTTCCAGCTTTTTAAATAAATACACTTCTTAAATTTTTTTAAATACACTTCTTAATTTTTTTTCTTGAATTTTTAAATTTTATGTCCCACTACAAAATAAATCATTATTATGAGAGCTTTTCCTGTCATTATATCTTAAACATAATTTTATGGGTGAATAATAGCCAAGATACAAAAGTATGGTAATCCTCTTAGCCAATTTCTAATTTCTAGAAAATTAAATGCTTTCTAATTTTTATTACTACCAAAATACTGCATTGAACATCTTTCTGCTCCTTGACAAGATTTGATTAGGTGAAACCAATGAAGTTGTAAGATGAATACGTGCATTTGAAATTCTGCTTTCTTTAGTACAGGCCTTTTCAGACTTTTCTACTGAAGTACCCTGCTGGTGGGAGAAATTAGGAGGAATCCTCAGTAATTTGTGATTTTACTACCATACATGTGGTTTTCTTTAAATCTCATGATTTATTTGAAAATGTCTCTGTAACATTAATAAAACTGATGTACATGTGCTTTCTACCACCACAGAGTATCTGTCAACTATGACAGAAAAGTATTTTTTCCCTAAACCTTGGTATACTATTACTGTGCAGAAAAACATATATAAGGATTTTGTAGACCATAGCCACTGAAGCAACATGTGTAACAGATTTAGGAGGAAGAAACTACATCTGGAATAGGGCACATATCAATTCTATCTCAATCTAAAATTAGTACCTTCAACCACACCAGAAGTAGGGCTCTGTTTATATAAAACAATCCAGAGGGAAAGCCTCTTTGGGGCTTTCCCTTCTACTTCTAGGATAAATTTAAAACCATATAACATTACCTCAGCTTCTTCTTGTTCTTTTTTAAGCCGATCTAACATCTGTTGAAATTCTAACTCTTTCTGCCTGGCTTCTTCAATGTTTGCCTGGTTTTGTTCTTCATAGGCCATGGCAACTACAGCCAGAATCAAATTTATTAGATAGAAGGAGCCCAGGAAAATCACCACAACAAAGAAGATCATGTAGGTTTTCCCAGCAACACGCAAAGTCTGGAGAAAAAAGGAAATAATTATTTTAATAACAGGAAGATTTTTGGTAAATTATTTCAACTCGAATGGCATAAAAGATATGAATAAACTGGGCAGTTCTATGTAAACAAAGTCACAAAAAATGTGAAGTAATAAAATTGTAAATCCATGGGAAACAATCAACATTAAAATAAACACTTTCAGAATAAAGAATGTAGCAATCTATTAAATTCACACTAAAGTTATGATTCTTGATTATTACTAGGCATAATAACTGTGAATTTTCCTCCACAATCTAAAATTCACTCAAAAAATAGATGCTTTATTTTTTTGGGGGGGGGTCTCTTCAACATTTATTTTATTATTTATTTATATTTATATCTTTTATATCATTGTGTATTCGCCATAAAATTCCCGCCACCTGTTCAATCATGAACCATCACCATAGTCCCGGTTCCTTGGTCTCTTCTCTTCCCTTTTTGATCCTTTTCCCACCCCTTCCTTTGTAGAGTATCCCGTTTTTATGGTTGCCTACTAGTTTTGCTTTATTATTTTCTTTATTATTGTTACTTTTCCCTGGTCCATTATTTGATTCTCCTGTATTCCTTCTATAAATGAAATCATTTGATAATTTTCTTTTTCCTTCTGGCTTATTTCACTGAGCACGATCCCTTCAAGCTTTGTCCATGTTGCTGTGAATGACATGAGTTTATCTTTTTTGATTGTTGAGTAGCAATCCACTGTGTATATATACCACATCTTCCTGATCTGGGCATCTATTTTTGGCCATTTGGGTTGTTTCCATATCTTACCTATTGTGAATAGTGCTGCTACTTTGCATAATTTCTAATTGTAAGGCTAGACAATATCTACAGCCTGTAAGTAGTTTTTTACTGATAAAATTTTATTTTTTTCTTAGACAAGAAGAATTTCTGATAATGTATTTTGCTCATACAAGACAAGTGTGTTGTGTAAACTACCTTTGTTTTAAATTAAGATTTTTCAAAAATATCTAAAGGTAATACATGGTAAAAATAAAATTTCAAGTGTTTAAAACAGGTATTAAATATAAAAAAATAATAATCTCTTCTACTTTTGATGCACAGCCACTCAATCCCCTTTTATTTCAGTTATTGTTGTTACTGATTTCTTCTCTTGGATAAAAGCACTTAAGAATTGCTACGTGATTCCATATATTCATAACAACCCAGAGAAAAACTGGCAGTGTAATTTGGGAATTTCTCTGAATTATTATGAAAAGGTCTTTCTGTTGACCTTCCATCTGATCTTTGTCATTCAGATAGGTAAAAAAAATTATGTCACACACTGGTTTGAATTTGTATTTCTTTAATTTTGAGTAAATTCTTTTTGTGTATTTGAAATCACTTGCATTTACTTTATCCTGTGAAGTTTTCTACATGACTTCAAACATCACATTTCAGAAATTAAGTAAGCATAAGGTGGGCTAAAAAAGCGTCCAAGAAAAGTTTGAAAAAAGTGATTCATCATTATTGAAAATACAGAATAATTCTTTTGGTCTCCATCTTCTTGGGGCTGGGTGCTGAATAATACAGAAATGAAAAAGAGTCCACAGGCCTAAGAAGATCCTTTCCAAGTTAGAAGAGATGGCCATGTGAGACAATTATAGCACAAGAGATGGAAACCACAAACATAAAAATACGCAAAAGACATGTAAATTTACAGGAAGAAGCAACTGAGCTGGAAGAAGAAAATTTATAAAAGCAAACTAAGTATTTCTAGTGCTGCCATAACAAAATGCCACAGACTGGGTGGTTTAAACAGCCGAAATTAATTTCTCACAGTTGTGGAGGAAGGCAATCAGAGACCAAAGTATTGGCAACTTGGCTTCTCCTGCAGCCTCTTTCCATGGGTTGCAGGTGACTTCCTTCTCATGAAATATGTGGCCTGTTATGAGTGCGTGCAACTCTTGCCTCCCTTGCAGATTTCTCTCTTGTAATTAAGTTTGGATTGGGACCTACCCTAACAGCCTTATTTTAATTTAGTTATTCTGAAGATCCTAAGTGCCGTCATTCTAAGTAATGAAGTTAGGGCTTCACCATAATAGTCTAAGGAGACACAATTCAGTTCATAATAACTCTACATGGAGTTTTAGAAAAGGCATGGTGTCTGTGAGCCTGGTGTTGAGAACACTGCAAGCAGACACATATGGGAAGCTGTGTGAATGTAGGAGTGATATGAGGGAACTAGACTGTGTATTCCTGTTGCAGAGTGTTATGTTCAGAAAATATTTAGAAATAAAATTAGCCCAGAAAAGATAAGAATTACAATTTAAAAAATATCCATTCTAATATTACTGGAAGCAAAACATGTCTAATTTTAGTAATGACACAATAGGTTTTCATTCTAAATTAAATAAAACATCTCATATATGACTGGTATCAAACATACATCAGATTTCTATACCATTCAAAAATGCAATGAGCATGCATCTCAATACTTACCTGTTGGTACAGGTTTTCCCAGTAATCCTGGGTCATCAGCCGAAACAAGGCTAAGAAGGCCCAGCTGAACGTGTCAAAGCTTGTGTAGCCATAATCAGGATTCCTACCAGCTTTCACACATGTGTACCCTTCTGGACACTGACTGCATATGAAAAAGGAATATTACCAATTAGAGGGTCTTCAGGATACAAGCTAAAGGTAATTCAGAAAGAATTTCAAGGTTCCTCCTCTGGGAAAGTAAGACTGAGTAATGATTCTGAACACATTTTTCAGAAAACTTCACCAAAGAAAGGAAAAGATTATTTGGAGTTCAGAAGAACTTGGTTTGAATTCTATCCCTATTAGTCAGTAAGACTGTCAAATTACTTAAATGCGGCAAGGCACAGTTCCCCCTTTCTATGAAAATAAAATAATAAACCTACCTCAAAGATGGTTTTTACCATTAAAGAAAGTAATGTATGCTTATTACCTCACTTAGTTCCTTCACCTAGAAAGTCTAATAAACACTGGCTACAATTCGCATCACTATGATCATCACATTAAAGCTTGGAAACATGTGTCAGATGTGATATAGTAGTTCCTGCATCTGTAAAGACTGACATAGTCCACTACCAAAACTGTGATCTTCCAAGTTAGTCTTGCAATGAATTAGAATCAGGAATAGTCAATATGAGTTTTGTAAAGATTTGTAGCTTTGACTTTTTCTTTCTAACAAAGGGGAATGGGTATCTATGCTGACATTACACAAATACAGAGTTCTGAGATATCTTTGGGGAAAGCTACCTTATCTTCTTTTAATGTTCCAGATTAACAGAGCCTGGTGGGGAGATACCTGGAAAGGGGGGTATCAAGAATAAAGATCTTGCAGCAGAAATGAAGTTGATAAGTGGGGGAAATGGCAAGACGGATATTTGGATAACTGAGATTCTTAATCTATATTTACCCAAGTTAAGATAAACAGGGCAACAATATCATTACATTCAGTCACTTATGAGTCATAGTTGGTTGGACACTGGATGGAAATTAGTGGAAAGAAAAGTTGATTTTGTCAATTTGCTTTCCAAAAAGAAAGTGGCTTGGAGCTTCCAGCCAAGATTCAGTGAGGTTTTCTGGAAATATTTTTTTTCCTTTCCTTAAGAGTTATATGATTTTTATATTACTTTAATTCAAGCATAGTCTCAAAGTCTAGCTTTAAAAAGTATGCTTTAGATATGCACATTTAAAGTATGGACTTGTTGTGGGACAGAATGTGTCAAATGATGTCATTAAATATATGAATACAATATCAATCAAACATCATGGTCAACAAACTAGATGAATATGCTTTTCCTTTTTTACAGCTTTAAGACTGAAACCAAAGCAAATATTACATACCCTGCATCTGTGCTGACACCACAAAGGAGAGCATCTTTGGATCCCTCCAAGAAATAAAAATACTCTGTTTAGGATGAAATTGAACAACATAACATTACAAAGTGTAAAATCTAAGGCTGAAACAATAGGTAAGTTCATTAGTATAGACATAAATTCATACATGCAGGCCTGGCTCCAGGCAAGATATGCTCAGTTATCAATTATAGTTTCATATATTTGTCCTTAAATATTCATTGACATCTCTCATGAGTCAGGTGCTAAAGACAATGATAAAGAAGTTTACTAGTTTTATGGAGCATTATTTATGTTCAGGCAAGAGTGGAGGGTGGGGTGGAGGAAGACAACAAATTAACCAATAAATAAATTTACAAGGTATTTTCAGACTAATGAAAGTTCTAAAAATTAATGAAATCTGATAAACTGTTCAAGGACTACATCTTATAAAATGATAACTTAATCTGAACCGTAACCTAAATGCAACAGAGGCCAGCCATTCAAAAACCCTGGTGAAGAGATATTTTGACAGCGGGGGAAAAGAAGAGCAAAGGTCGTAAGGCAGAAAAAAAAAAAAAAACTTGGTGTTTGAAAGAAACAGCAAGATGGCCTGATGAGATAAGAACATAATGGTAAAGACTGAAGGGTGGCAGAGGCTGACAGTGACCAATCACATAAGGCTTTGCATGTCATGGAAAGAGCTTTCAATATAATGTTTAATTAGAAGAATCCAAGGGGAGACAGAGATATGAAAAAATAACTTGCTTTTAAAAATCTTGTGTGGTTGTTTGTAGACCACAGACTGTATTAGAGCAAGAATGAAAGCAGGAAAACCAGTTAAGTGACTATAGGGAGCAGTAACATGGCTAAAGTTCAGAGTATTGAATATAGAAAGAAAGGGATAGAAATGGGTGGACACAATTTGCTGATGGACTGTGTGGAAGACAGAGGACACAGGAGGCATCAACTGGTGAGATGGTGGTGCTGGTTGCTGAGATGAGGAAGAAATGGGCTAAAATGACCTTAAAAAAAAAAAAAGCATCTCTGCCCAACTATGCTTATTTTGAGATGATTGTTTGGTATGAACAACTTCTGTCAAGTAAGTGATTGGACTTACATGAAAGTCCAATGGAGAGATAATGATGGGAGTCACTAAGCAGAGTTTCACAGGACTTGAGGTGTTAACCCAGGGGAAAGTGTAATTAGTGTAATTAGGAAGGGAAGGGAACGCCTCTACATGAGATCCAAATAATTTCAAGAGGTAGAATCAAAAAGGCAACACTATAAATGGGCTAAACTGTTTTCTAAAGTTTTCTTGTATATTTAGCAATCAATATTTATTTATAATTACATTCCAGATATTGAAGACATGACATTGAAATAAATATAATTTTCCCATTTCAGGGAATCCTTTCTCCCCATTTTTACACAAAAGGAATCTCATATTCTTTCCTCCATTCACTAAAATAACTTAGTCTAGGAGGCTGATCTTACCCATACAGTTAAGACATAAAAGACTAAAATATACATTCTTTCAAAAAGTCAAAAGAATAAAGATGTAATTATTAGGAGACTTGTGGGACTTGAGGACTATCCATGGTAGAATGAATGGGTAGTCAGATATATTTGGGTTTGAATGTGATTTCTATTCCTTCCTACATAGGTGAGTTACTTTACCTACTACATCTTTAAAATGTGGACAAAAATACCTCTTTTGTAGAGTTATTTATAAAATAAATATGGTATTACAAGTAAAACAATACAGTGACCAGATAGTCTACATAACTGTTCAAAGGATGGAAATTACTATCATTAACCTATTAAACAATTTCAGATAAGACAAACTGACTGACTGATGCATCATTGTGTGTCTTAGAGAATGCAAATAAAACTAATGTTTTAGCTTCAAGTAAAAATGTAGGTGAAATGTGCATGAGCAACTGTTTTAAAGGAAAATCCTGTCTCTCAGGGAGGGTGGTAACAGCAGAATGATTTATAGATATATCTCCAGTATATTTTATTATAGAAATGTTACTTTAAAATTATCTTTTATTCTGTGTTTACCATCACAGAAGAGATACCACATAAAGGAATGGACTCCTGACTGAAGCCCGAGCATGCTGTAGAGCTAACATTCACATCAGTATAAGAATGATGAAAGGGAAAGCAATCAGAGTATCTCACTCTGATCTAGTATAACACTTTAAAATAATTCCTAAACAACTAGACATTAAATTATTAGGATAATTAGCCTCCAGAGGATTTAAGAATTGCCTGTGAAGGGAAATGTAATATAAAGAGAAATGAAAACACACGATAAACTTATATATTAATGCTCTTGGCAGCATTATTCCCAATATCCCAAAGTGGAAACTACCTAGACATCCATTGGCTAAGAAACAATAAATAAAACATGGTACATACTTGCACAGAAATACTATTTAGCAATAAAAAGAAATGAAGTATTACAATATGCTATATGGATGAAACTTGAAAACTTACTACATGAAAGAAGCCAGACATAAAAGGTCACATAATGTATGGCTTCATTTATATGAAATGTTCAAAATAAATCAGTGGTTGTCAGGGGCTGGGAAGTGTGGAATAGAAAGTGATTACAGGCTTCCTTTCGAGAGATGAATATATTTTAAAGTTAGACAGATACAGACTTAGTTACCAACTCCATAATACACAAGAAAATATTGGTCTCCACTCATTAAAAGTGGGAATCTTATGGCTTGTGAATTATTTGTCATTAAGGCTGCTAAAATATAGCAAAGATTGTAGTAATGATGTGGATATTCTCATCTATCACCTACACTTCCCCAATCAGTTCCACAGGGACTAAAACCCCAGCATTTAACATAAAATCCAAACTCCTTTCCACGTGTAAAGCTTGCTGCATGATATGGTTTCTGTCTTTTTCTTTTTCTTTCTCTGTCACTATTCTGTATCTCCCTTGGTAAAATCTAATCACACTGTCATTTCCCCAGTCTTTAAATACATCCCATTCTTTCTTGTTTCAGAATATTTCTACATGCTATCCTTCTAACTCAAATGGTACTTCCCAAACATACATTCCTATCTATCTTTACACTATTTTATTACTTCTTCTTATCCTTAGCATCTAACTTTAAATTTCACATTTCAATTATATTTAGATTTTTTCATCTCCATCATTTTTTTTATATAGCAATTTTTTATTACACACAATCTTCTGCTTATCTGTTCCTCTCCTTTTAATTATTCATTCACACTAAAATATAAGTTTTGCTGGAGGCAACATGTTTGGTGCCTTAGCTCTAGAAACTTGAAAATGTTTAACTTAGGGAAGCAATCATTTAATCAACACATGCTGATAAATGAATTCTGAATTAATGATACAATAAGACCTGGCTTTTATGACACAAAAAAACAAGAACAAATTCAGACATGACATAAACATCTTCTCTTTAAAACTATATTTCAAAAGTCAATCAAAAATGCAGAGTTGAGGGAAAGGATTATGAGATAAAATTTCATTAACTAAGTAGTCATGCACTAATATATACATGCAATATAAAGATACTTGGCAAAAGTTAAAAATCTTTTTCTTTTCCTTTAGAGAAAGTTCTTGAAGCAATTCAAAACATTTACAAATATTTCAAATTATGAACTCAAGTATAGAATCAGGGCTCAGAATGAAAAAAAAAAAACTATAGTGATCCTAATTTAAAAAAAATATGTGCTATGCATTTATTCATAAAGCAGAATATAAATATCAACAATCCATAAAATATATTATTTTTATGACATAAAAGCAAAAAAAATTGTAAATTGAAAATAAAATTCAGTTAGTAAAAACCAGAACTTGAAAACTAAATAAAGGTAAAAAGTTAGGGAAAATATACTGAAATCTGCAGCATAAAGAAACACATCTACATTTAACATTTTCCCAGAAAGCCTCCAGTGTTCCTGTTTTAGAATCCTAATTTTTTGGTTTCCTTTATTTATAATTTTTTAGAATGCTAACTAGGTTTTCTCTTGTTTTTGTCTTCCCCAGTAAGTGGGAAAGTACACACTAAGTTACAAAGATGTATAAAGCTCTTTATTATATAAAGAGAATCCTGATGCTCACTTCCTGATCTTGTTCTGATAAAGGCATGCATATTTGAAAGATTTATTTCTACCCCACCTTTGGATCTAATTATCTCTTAAGAGTTATGGGTTAATGTGGGCAACAGATAGACACTGCAGGTGTCAGACAGAAGGCTCAAGTCTTGCCTGATCTCATTCTCACCTAATACTTATCAACAACTCAGGTGAGAGAAAATGTTAAGGGGGTAATTGGTAGAAAACATGCAGTTTACACTTTATGTAAGAAACTCTAATTTATACTTGTGAATTAAGCAGAAGTTTGTATATACAGATCATTTCATATAGTATATACAGAAATACCTACAGAATTCAATTTTGTTGTGATGCTATCAGCTAAAATGAGGGAAGCCATTAGAAAGAGCTGTGAGGCTCTCACTGTTTATAATATAAAAATAGTACTAATGAGTCTACTTTCTGTTTTATACAAACCTTTAGAAATATTACTGAGATAGACGTTTAATATGTGATATCATTATGCAATTAATATAGCTATGTATTGTAAGTCTAATCAGCTATAAATTTAATTATATGATCATATAATAAATTATACTATATAAAACACAGCATGAATTATAAAACTATACTATATAAAATATATAGCCTGTGATGAATTTAATGATTAATGTTATTAATTTATAGCAAATGTATTGTTCTAGTTCAATGTTTTTCTTTTCTACTGTACAAAAATTGAGAATTCTGGAAATATCCCATGTCTCCAATACCAGAAGCATTAGAGAAGCTTTTGAAATAGGGGTATTTTAGAAAATATCACATGAAAGTCACACTGTATCAGCTTCCCATAAATTTGAATAATTCTGAAGTAAGAGAAAGCAACATTTCATTGCTAAAAGGGTATGTGTTATGTCAACCTATTAATAACTGCAGGGACATTCTTACTTCTGTAGGAGGCTTCTTCTTCTTCAACGATCTTGTTAATTATTGCTAATGTCTCATTATTGTCAAGTGAATCCCTCAGACATTTATACTTCAGGTTGCCCATGAACAGCTGCAGCCCAATGAGCGCAAACACACTCAGGCAGAACACGGTCAGGATCATGACGTCTGAGAGCTTCTTCACAGACTGGATCAGGGCACCCACGATGGTCTTCAGGCCTGCATGTAAAAGGTAAAAAGTATCATAATGAAATAAAACCTCTAAATGAGAAAAAAGGGATGTTTTCTTAGAAATGCATGCTTAATATCAAATCAATAACCTTAAATAACTTAGTTCAATAAAAGCCTACTAGAAGAATAGATTTTCTGTTTTATATAAATATTACAGCAAATGATTAAAACTTATAAAATATTTTTTTTCAAAATACTCCAATTGTCAAATTAATTTGTTTGATTAAACTATAGCCACATTCCCCTATAAAAACAATCTTTGAAAGTTCTAATTTGGAAATGCCTGTAGAACAAACCACCTCTCTGTGATGACACCAAAACAGAAGAGGCTGAATTGCAGCGAACAGTGACAACTTAGTAAATTTCAATTCAGAAATGGTTTGTTGAAGAAGTTAAAAAAATCAGTGTGCCATGCAAACTCCCCATGCTGTTATTTATTATCTCTTCTTAACTATATGAAAAGTGACTAAGACAAATTGAAATTTTCATTCCTGGAGAAGCAAAATAGAAAATGAGCAGTTAAACAGGAGAGAAAATTTCAAGTTGAGATGTGAGCCCAGTAGCCATCTTCATCCTCTAAGATTCATGCAATTGATTAAACGCAAAGGCTGACTTTTAAAATGATTATGAAAAGCATAAATCGAATTTAATGAAAGTTGCATAAGTCAAAATCTTTGTCTTTCTTCCAAAAGCTCAAAGTCAGCCCTGGTGTTTAACCCCACTCTCACCTGGAATGACTGAAATTGTTTTCAGTGCTCGGAGAACTCTGAATGTTCTCAACGCTGAGACATTGCCCAGGTCCACAAACTCTGTCACATATCTGTAATAGGGGAGTTTATACACAAACACATTGACAACACACACACAAACAGACAAAGAACAACTCCCAAATAGTTGGAGTTATGAGTGGCCTAATGCTTCACATCAATCACTTCTTACCTGGGATTACAGATATAGTTTTCAAAGCTCTCAACACTCTGAAAGTTCGAAGAGCTGAAACATTGCCTAGGTTTACAAATTCTGTTAAATACCTGTAGAATTAAATCAGAGTTATTCAAAATTTTTATAGAGTCTATGATACTTACCTGACCCTTAAGTCAAGGTATTTTCTATGTTTGGAACTTTTTAAAAAATGTATAGTTCTACAAATCTTTCTCTTTTTTTTTTCCTTCCAACTACAACCAAATTAAGTTTATCTGACTCACTTAAGGCATGCAAATACAAATATATTATTAAAAAATGGTTTTATGTACCTAAATTCCTAAATAATTAAATGCTTTGATTTAGATTTCAACTTTAATGGTAGTGTAGTTACTAAGTATCCTACAAAACATCTATGACAAATCGAAAAACTCTATGCTAATTGCCACAAAAAGTCACATATACTCCATGCCTATGAGATGTCAGACTGAGCAAATCCAGCGAGGAGACATAGCTGAATAGATTCCAGGAGAAGGAAATGGGAAGGATCACTTTTTAGGGTAATGAATATACTCTGAAGTTACAGAGTGGTAATGGTCACACAATTTTTGTGGACATACTAAATATATAAAACACTGAATTTTCTTCTTCGAAAGGATAAATTTTATGGTATCTACATTGTGTCTCAAAAAAAAAAAAAAAAAAAAAGGAGATCCTGAGAGGAGGCAGCCTTCTTTGACTCAGGAGAAGTGCAGTAGTCATGGGACTCTCCTGAGTCAGCCTGACGGACTAGGGGGGGACAGGGCGATGGAATTGGGGACTAAAATTTTAAGACCTGTATGTACTGTCTAAATATTTCCAATGAATGTGCATTACATTACATATTCAAGATAAGAGGGAAAATATTGTATCTTGGTTTGAGATTATAAAAAAATAATCTCTTCTGACAAATATACACTTGGGAAATATCATTATGAATAATTAACTGTGAAAATTAACTGTGGATATGGATACATATGTAAAATTAACTGTGGATATGGATACATATGTAATAAACATACAGTGCATAAGTTTGAGTTTAGTAAGTAGAGACTACTTACAAAAGGTTTATTCTTGAACAGTGTTAATAAAAAGAGCATTATAAGCATCATATTTATTAAAGACCTGAAGTTTGTTTGTTCTGTTCTTTTTTTTGATGTTCCTTACAGGTATTATTAATTTAGAATAACACTTGGGAAAAGTGTGAACCTAAATGACATTGTATTTACTATACATCCAAGTATTGAGCATGGAAGATGATGATGTCATATATCTTTGAGTTAGAAATACTCTTTCTGAAAAAACTTAACATTTGCTTATCAATGACAATCTTTCATATAGCAGTTCTGAAATGTAACCATTATAGGTAGGAAATGTCAGACTCCGAAAGTAAATCCTTAATGGAAAATTGTGTAGTTGAGATTATCATGATTTGACATCTGAAAATAATGAAAATACTTACGCAAAAACAATAACGACAAAGTCCAGCCAGTTCCATGGGTCACGAAGGAAAGTGAATTCTCCTACACAGAAGCCTCTAGCAAGGATTTTTATGAGTGATTCAAAAGTATATATTCCAGTAAAAGTGTACCTAAGCACAAGAATGCATTGGGATGGTCAGGGGGACAAGAAAAAAGCACCATAGGAATCTTTATGATTTATTTTATCCTGACCAACTAAAGGAAGTCCTTTATTGTAATGTGTCTTTGTTTTATGGGACTCAATGTGTTTGAAAAACTACAATCAAAATATTTCCTAAATTTAAGATTTACATATCTGAAACTTCTAGAAAGTAGAGGCAGTTAAATAACTAAGGATGTAGGTACTAGATGGGCTTAGAATATACCCACGTTGATCCTATCAAAAATACACTTAACAATAAGAATGAAGGATATCTAGAACTCACTCTTTTAAAAGATATAGTAGTATCCAGTTATTTTATTCTTTTGCCTAGTAGGTTAAATATTGTAGTTGTGAAAAAAACATAACTGAAAGAAAAGCAACTATGTCATGCAGGAAGATAAACATCACAATTTTTACATGCAATAATTTGCTGGTAGGAAAAAGGAAGTATAAAAATGATAGTATTAAGACTATATTAAAATGTACTTATACCCACTTACTCTACATTCTTGGTCCAATCTGGAGGGTTATTCAGGGTCATAAAGATGCAGTTTGTCAGAATAGTGCACATGATAAGCATGCTGAATAATGTAGCTTAGAATCAAGGAATATAATAAAAGAGCATAATGGAAACTTTGAACATATGATGATACTCCTTTAATGTATGTAACTTTTCTTTAGAAACAAATTCTAAGTGAATGTATACATTCAACAACAAACTCTTTGAATAAGGGAGTCAAATTATCCTAAAGCACTAAAATTGTCTATCCCCCAACTTTCTCAGATTCCAATTCCAATCATGCTAAATTGATAATCTACAACTAAAGTCTTTTCTGGTGCAAAAAGAACTGAAATCTTTATTTAAATAAAACAGCAAAAACATTTAAAATACCATTACATTTTAAAAAGGATATGAATGTACTAAAATCTTAATAGATATTCTTCGTAGAGGACTGAAAGGAGAGAGCATGTACAAAGCAGGTGCAGCATTGAAACGGAAGATTGCTTTGCCTTTGTTCAACACAATGAAAGTCTTCAGGAGCAAAAGGAAAACAGCATTGAAATTGCGTATTTCAGTTTCATTCTAGAACATTAATATCAGCAATTTACAAATTTACATGGTAGTGTTACATTAAAGAAACATGTGCATGTATAAATTAGTTCTTACTTATATGTCATATAGTACATTTCAGTTTATTGAGAATTGAGCTATTGAGAAGTACATATGGCTTAGAGCACCGCAAATAGTTTCTTAATTGTATGTGACAATAGTCTCAAAAATTTTAACATTTTCAGATGCTCTTCCAGGTTATTTCACCATATCAGTTATGTCTAAACATAATTTAAGGGAATTTCACTTTTACAGTGAAAATTACTTTTAAAATTTACACCTAGCCTTTTCTTATCTCTCAATACACGATGGTTTAAAAATTCATTCAGCCATTATTTTCTATGATTGTATAGTAAGTATGACACAAGAGACAATGCAAGGGGTCTAAACATAAATGAGGCATGGGTTTGCATGCAAAAACTTCTAAAAACTGAAAAGAATCAATAACTCTAGCACAAGGCAAGATGTGACAGGCATACTGGGAAATGGAAGAGCATCTGGGTGAAGAGACAACAGAGTCACATGTCTATCAGAATTATCTGGGAGACTTCATGAACCAGAGGTAATTTGGCCTAACATGACATTCACATAAGTACATAAGCTTGGTAAAATCAAGTGACCTTGCACTTGTAATTGCACTTTAAAATAGTGTGCAATTTAAAATAAAATTTTTAATTTTGATTCACATTTTATATACCCAGAAGTTAATAAGTAAAGAAAATAGCTATGCCTATGAAATTTGGATGATCAGTATGGACCTTTTCAGTAAATTCAAAAATCCTAGGTAGGATGATCCTACTTACATGGCAGGTCTAGTTGGAGAGGTGTGACTCCCTATCTCTAAATCATAAACAGAATTAAAAAACCAATAATACCTCAATAAAAGTTCCTAATAGAAAATGCATGTAGATGTTATAGTATTAATTACTTCTTTTAATTTGGCTCATTTACTAAGAATTTTTAATGCAAAGTTAAAAAATTATGATACCTAAAGGTCACAGACTTCAGAGGCAGACAAATCTGACGGTACATACCAGAGCCATCACCTAGTAGCCTGAGAGCTTAAGTTTCTGCTTACACTGTAAATTCTTAGTAAATGGTGGGAGCAGTTGCTGATATTGTAGGTTTTATAGTAAGTACCAAGGATATGAAAATAGTAAGATAATGTACCTGTTCTCTAAAAACCCTGAACAGAGAGTGACTGGTAATTTATCATTTCTTAAAGATACAGACTTTCACTATACTGAAAATATTCATAACAGTATTAAAATGCACCCCACATATTATACATTCACCCCACATAAAAACAGTCTTAACTTCGATTGTCAACTTATTCAGTATTATTTGCTTTAACAAACTATTGATGATTACCCTCAGATAAAAGTTAAAATGTGAACTAAGAGCAATTCAGGATTAAGATTTTGAATCTCAGTGATAACTATAATATAGAAGAAATAAAATTTTTTGTCAATTAGTATGAATAACTTGCAACATCAAGGAATTAATACACAGAGAAGTTAACCTTAAATTTTTAAGTGGAAAATCAAAAAAAAAAAAGTTTTAGAACATTTGAGGATCTAGAAAAAGGTACAGATACCTTTGATTTTTTAAAGCCCCAAACCTAAAGAAAATAACAAGACTCACTTATTTCTTTTGGTATTTGCCTACATATTAAGAATTGAGGACCTTACAAATGAGATTATTCTGTTTGACCAATTTCCACCCAAGTACATTGAACAAATGTGGGGTATCCTTCTATTGGCATTCTGTTGAATGGAGCTGTGGTCAAGACAAAATGATAGGTCCCTGACCCAAATACTCTCTACTTACTAGTTCATCACATAATTACTACTCTTATATTAGCTAATAAAACTGTTATCCTCCATTCAAATGAAAATATTTTCTCCCTGCTTTCCAAATCATTTCAAGCCAAAGTAAGTTTACATCTCTGAGGTGAGGATTGTCCTAGCAATATTCCTTCCCTCCTGAAGGGGTAGCTAGATAAGTAACACCAGGTCCCCCATTTTTGGAGACATCCACACATAGCTAAGAATTTTTCAGAATAAAACAATAAAATGAGAGAATACTTTTTTATTTTGCCTGCTTCATTGCTTATTCACTCCTCATCCATTTTTGTAAAGCTATTAAGATGATAGTTGCTGTATAACAAAGACTAAAATATACTAAGGTGTAGGGACTCAAACCAATCTGAATTTAAATACCTATAACAACTTAATAGTTTTGTAAATTAATTTACAACTTAATTTCTGTAAACACTTAATCTTATTTAAAATCAAGGTATTTCTCTTTCATCAAAATGTGATAATTGTACTAACTTGTAAAAAATCTAGTGCCTGACAAACCCCCAATACAAACTAGCATTCTTTCTGTTTCATAATATCCATTGGTTCATTAGAAGCTTTGTGATAATTTTGGGATTTCTTAGATGCTCTGATTTATATTGGGCACTATTAAATGGTTTTAATGTGAAGCAATATATTATGATACTCATAGCAATTACTACTGAGGTGGATGTGTCTTTACCATAACAAAGTACCTTCATCCTATGAAATATTTCTTGAGACATTTCAAGTTTACTTTCTTTAATTGCTACAAGTCATTTGCTATAAAAGTCCCTCTTATTTGCATCTTGATGACTTCAAACATGCATGTATATTCTTTGTTTAAATGGAACTTAGACTCTTTCTTGACCTCTCAAATATAAGTCTACATGTGCTGTGTGGCAAAGGACTGATAGAAAAAATTATACTTTCCTCATCCTTTACTGTCTAATCTTTATCATCTTCAACCTGACTGTATTGCTGTGTGAGAAGTAATGGTAATTCTCTCTCTTCATTTCCCTAGTAAAACAAACTTTAGAGTAGCTGTTTCAAACTTTCTTCCATCTCATTAATACAGGCAGCACCTTCTCAGCTCTGCAACCTTCATCAAGGACTCTCCAAGGATAATTTCTACTCTTGAAGTGTGAAAAATAGTGAGACCATTTAATAGGCATATCCCTCTGATGTCTCTACATTTACTTTAATCTATTAGGAATTCTTAAATTTATTCCATTTTCCCTTTAGGCTTCAGACAATATGATTTTGTTCTACTTTCCTAATGCAAATACAGAATCTATGGTAGCTTGACCTTATCTGTTAAAATCATCAACCCTTACAGTACTTCAACATTCATTGTTTTTCAATCTGAGAGTAAATTTACTTTACTTTCAAACATGCTCTTTTGTTAAAAAATATTTTTGGTGTATTTCGCTCTTCAAGAACCATCTTTCTGGTGGTAAATTTCATGTATGCATGTACTGGTAAAATTTCCTCTTTGTATTTGTAATCCACCACTACCTTGCTTTGATTTTTCTATCATCCAAACACAAACTGTTGTCAAAGTTACCAAATCACTTTCGTTGTTCATTCTAACAGCTTTTACCTACAACTTTCAGGGTAATTTTATGGGATACTCAACCCCCTTTTTTGAACAATGGAAAATATTTTCATTTGTGTCCTACTTCTCTGAAATTCCTTTCTATCCAACACCTTAAATGAAATGTCTCTTATAAACTCCATTATTAATTGAGTGATCATATATAGTCCCATGACTCAACGGTACCTCCATGCACATGTACTCTAGATCATATCTCCAGATTTCATTTTCAAATTGACACTTATTTTGTTCCTATCTGTATGTGTTTATGTCATGTCCAAAAAGGCAGACCATTACACTGAACAATTTTAAAAGATGAAAGAAACCAAAAGTATTTTGTGGCTGTCAGAACCAGTTTTGATAAAAAATTAGAAAAAGGACATATTCTGAAAAGTCTACACATACATTTTACTGAACATCATTGTCACAATGTCGTTTTTCACTAACATCCACTTAAACTCAATTTAAATTATCTTTTGTATAGAAAAAGCCAACAGAGATGCCATGCATGCAGTCACAGGAAACTAACCTTTTTATCTGCATAGTACGGGTCCAGGTCCTCCAGGGGCTCTGACACCATGCCAGGAGGGATGTCACCATAGATGAAGGGCAGCTGCTTGCCGGCTTCCAAGTCACTGCTTGGCTTTAGAGCTTCTTCTTCTTCATCTTTCTTTTCTTCTTTGGGTTCCTTTGCTTTTCCTTCAGCAATACGTTGTTCAATAAGGGCAAGAGACTGTTTTGTAAAGTAGACAAAACTCTGAGATCCTGGGGGAGGCAACATTGCCATCTTTTCATCCTGTATAATTTATTTCCCCTTGAGTTCCTTACATCAGAGGCCTAAGAGGAAACACAAGAATAAAACCTTAACTGTTTGCCAGGCAGGAATGGCACATTAAATAATTGTTCTTCTGCTACAGTTCTGTTTCTACTAGTTACTACTAGTACATTTCAGTTTCAACTATAAGAATAATATTTTTCACAGAATCATTATCGACTTAACATTTAAGCATATACTAAGACTTATTTTTCATACTCTATAAACATTTTTTCATTGAAATAACATTATAATATGTTCTTCATTGAGAATTAACATGTGTATATCCTACATTAACTTCAAGTTCAATTCTATCCTTCACCATATCATTATTCCTTTTTGTGCCAATTTACCTACTCTTCCCTTGTGGTAACCACAAATTGCTCATAGAGTCCAAAGGTTTGTCTTTGTTCTTATACAACATATATGTGAAATCATATGTATCTGTTTTTGTCTGTCCTATTTCACTATATACTTCCTTCTAGGTCTATTCATGTTGAGGGAAATCACAGGATTTTATAACTGAGTAGTATTCAATTTTGTGTGTGTATGTATCTATTTTAGATATTTTCTTTCTCTACTATCAGTTAAAGGTACTCAGGTTGTTTCCAGTTCTGGGCTACTGTAAATAATTTTGCTATAAACATGGGATTGAATATATCTCTTCCAATTACTGTTTTTGCATATTTCTGGATACATACCCAGAAGTAAGATAACTGGATCATATGGAATTTCTGTTTTTAATTTGAAGACTCTCAACACTACTTTTCATAATGATTATGCCAATTTACATTGCCACCAACACTGTCAACACATCCTCTCCAACACTTGTAAAACCAACAATATCAAAACCATCTTGTGAAATAAACCATCAGCAAAATAAGTATAAAAGGAGTTTACTTCAGTATATTAAAGGCCATATATTAATAACCGCAACCAATATCACAATAAATAGTGAAAACTGAAAGCCTTTCCTCTAATACCAGCAACAACACAAGCATGTCCACTCTCTACTATTCAGTATAGTGTAGGTAGGCCTAGCTAGAGCAATTTTACAAGAAAAAAATTTAGAGTCTCCAAACTATAAAGAAGTAAATCTTCACTATTTGCAGATCACATAATAATAGAGAAAACATTAAAAACACCATTAAAAAGCTATTAGAGGCCCTCCCTGGTGGCACAGTGGGTTAAAGCACAACACTGAGAAGCTAAAGCCACTTCCTCATGAGTTCGATTCCCGCCTGCCCTGGAGGTGACCACATGGCATGGCAGACCTCTCCTGGCCCGCCCGCTGCTCCCCTCAGCAGTGTACTTCATGGATCTGCCTGATGTGCTCCCCACTCTGTCTCTGGTGAAGCCTCTAGCAGCCCCTGAGCCTCTGGACTGTACCCCAGTTCTGTATGCACAAATAAATAAATCTTTAAAAAAAAAGCTATTAGAAATAAATTAATTCAGTAAAGTGGTAGGATATTATATGATTAATATCCAAAAATCTGTTCTATTTCCATGTGCAAAAAGTGAAATAGCAGAAAGGAAAAAAAAATCTCATTTGTATTCATATCAAAAGAACTAGAGGCCTTGGAATATACTTAATATGAAAGGTAAAAGGCATACACAGACATAAACTATTGTTGAAAGAAACAGAAGAAACAAAGAGATGGAGTAGAGATAACTGTTAAAATTGCTATGCTACTTAAAGCAAGGTAGAGTCAATGCAACCCCTATCAAAATTTCAATGATATTCTTCACAGAAATAATTAAAAAAAAGGCATAAAACTTATCTGGAACAACAAACCAATCGAAATAGCAAAAATATTCCTGAAAAAGAAGGAGGCAAAAAAGTGGAGTGATTCTATAAGCAATAGAAATTAAAGCAGCTTGGCCCTGGAGTAAAAAGAGGGGCAGCAAACAATGGAATGGAACTGAGAGCCTGAGAGTGGAGAGGAGGGGGAGAGAGGATGGAGTGGGAACACAAACACAAACACACACACACACACACACACTCACAAGGACAACTAGTTTGTGACAATGACACCATGAGCTTACAATGGCACAAGAAAATCTTTCATAAATGGTGCTGGGAATCAAATAACCATATGTAAAAGAATGAAACTAGATGGCTAACACCGGACAAAAAATTAATTTAAAATGTATTGAGACTTAAATGTAAGGTCTAAAACCATAAACATCTTTATTTTTAAATTTAAACTTAAAACTTCACAATTTTAAAGTAAAAAAGTGACAATTTCATAGGGTATTTTTTAAAATTCCTTTTACTTTTCATCTGTATCCACCGTCAGTGCAATTCCACTCAGCTTTCCTCTTTTAAAAGTCTATGACGGTGCCTCTTATTCAACAGCCTCCAAGTTCTTCCCTGTCTCTCTGAGCACATGACCCTCTTCCATCCTCCATCTTTTAATATGCTTAAATTCTCTGTTACTTTCACTTTTGGAAAGCTAATTACTGTGAAATGAGGTTGTGGAAGACTGTTTTACTCATATTTGCTAACAATATCCCTCTACAGTCAGGACATAAATATATTTCCATTTTGAATTAAAACAAAGTGTTTTAGGAAAAACAAATATGGGAAATGTTTGTGATAGATTCAATTTAGTAAGAAATGAAACTACTCTGATAGGAATTAAAACTATGATTGCCATAATTTATATATATGTATATAAAATATTTAATATATATATATTTATGTTTATATATATAGTATGCATACACATACAAATCATCAAAGGAAAGGGAAACTTTTATTTTATTATTATATATTTTTAAAATATATTTATTTATTTATTTATTTATTTATTTATTTTTAAAGATTTATTTATTTGTGCATACAGAACTGGGGTACAGGCCAGAAGCTCAGGGGCGGTGAGAGGCTTCACCAGAGACAGATCGGGGAGCAGAACAAGCAGATCGACGAAGTACACTGCTGAGGGGAGCAGCGGGCGGGTCAGGCGAGGTCTGCCATGCCATGAAGTCACCTCTGGGGCAGGTGGGAATCGTAGGGAAGTGCGGACGTGGTTTTAGATACTCAGTGCTGTGCTTCAACTCACTGTGCCACCAGGGAGGGCCAATATATTTGTTTATTTTTATCTTTGCATAGAAGATCTGGGATATGGGCCGGGGTTGGGGGGGGTGTTGTGAGAGGATTCGCCTGAAACAGAGTGGGGAGCAGAACAGGCAGATTTAATGAAATGAATTGTTAAGGGGAGCTTTGGGCAAGACAGGAGAGGTCTGCTGCATAATAAATACCAGGGATTGAACTCAGGCCATAACAGTGTTAGCACTGATACTTAACCCCTGGGCTACCAGGGAGTTCCTGGAAAGACAAAATTTAAAATGTGGAAAATTCATGTTTCTCTATAGTTTTGAATGTCAGAAACAAAAGAGCTTGAAAAATAACATTTCTTACTTTTAATAGAACAGACTTATTGTTTTAATGTCAGTTATTTGTATAACTCCTCCATTAGAAAGTATTACATGCTTACTTTTGGCGCTAGACTGACCAAGAGTTGGAGTACACTAACTTCCAGTACATGAGCCCACTAGATGATTTTCCCCTCAGAATTTGGGCACAGTAAAAGCACGGCCCTTTACCAGAAATTTATGTACTTAAAAAAAGGTCATACATCAGTTTAAAGACAATAAAAAATGATCATTCTACAATGTAATGATGTGTTTTAAAATTTATAAAGCATATTTAACTGTTTTGAATAATGCTTTTTTATGGTTTCTTGGCATGGCATGTATCATCACATTTTTTATACTAACCAACCTTCATTTTAAATGTATTTACTGAACACTTAATCTGGGCATGTTACCATATTAGATATCTGATGCTGAAAGGGTAAGAAGAACAGTTTTTCTTTTTGAAATATTTAGGCTCTAAAAAGAGAAACCAATCACTGAATCATACAGCAAAGACAAGCCTAGTTTCCCTGTAGTGAAAAGTTTCTCAAATTTTTGGTATAAATTCATGGATACTTTTATTAGAGCCTCAAGAATGGAAACCTACAAGTCTTCTATAATAGGCCAGCAGATAAAGCAACATTTCATGGAATAGAATATATTAACAACTACACAATGACACATTTGAAAATAAGGAAACACCCCTATTTACAGGTTCAGTATTAAGAGCAAATAAGAACAAGGTTGGTCCACTCCACAGGTTACAAGTAGCTAATAGCATTGTTTGTGAAAAGAATTTGGATAATTAATTTACTAAGTGTTTGTTAGTTTACCCTTTTTTGAAAGTACTTTGCTAAGATTATTCACTACATTATTTCTGTAAATCAATACCAGTAAATAGATGAGAAAGCAAGTAGATAAACTCAAGGATTGTCTATTTTACAAAGTTCAGATGCTATTTTTCCATCATATTCAAGTATGAAGCAATGGGGTTTATCTCCATGATATTAACTGACTTGACTGAGGTAAGACACTAGGTATTGTTTTCATTTTTACTAGAAGCAAGGTGGAATTGAGGGAAAGGTAGACTCTTCTTACCTATCCCTTACACATATGCCTTAAATAAACTTTTAACATGTTTTTTCTAAAGTACAGTATAGAAAAATAATACTACAAAGCTATAGTAATAAAAGCAGAATGGAGCTGAAGTTAAAAAAATACCAGATCAATGGAAGAGGATTGAGGGTCCAGAAGTAAACATACATTGATAGATAGTTAATCTCTGACAAAGGAGCCAAAGGAGTACATTTGCAAAATGGAAATTTATTCAACAAATAATGTTGGAAAAACTGGACAGTTACATGCAAAAATATAGCCAGGTCACTTTCTTATACCCTATACACAAACTAATTCAAAATGGATTAATTACTTGAATGTAAGACCTGAAACCATAAAATCATAGAAAAAACCTTAGGCAAAACACTCCATGATATTGACTTCAGAGATATCTTTGGGGACTTGACTATAATAGCAAAGGAAATAAAAATAGAGGAATGGGACTACATCAAAATAAAAAGTTTTGGTAGAGAGAAATAAACTAGTG